CCATAACTCCCTCATCGCAAACAGCAATCCACTAGGCACCCTGACCGGCACTTCACTTCACACGATCACCAAACTCTTGGACACTGAACTCACCGCCTTGCATATCCCAGTGCACTTTTCCCTTGCTCTAATCTCTGTTTCCGTGTGATCTCTCACCTGTGACATGTAGTATAGGGTTTTAGTACACTTCTGAATGAAGGCAAAAGATACAAGCTTGGCAGGATATCATTCATTCATTTTCTTGTCGGCTTCCCTTTATTAATCCGGGGTCGCCACAGCGGAATGAACCGCCAACTTATCCAGCAAGTTTGTACGCAACAAATGTCCTTCCAGCTGCAACCCATCACTGGGAAACATCCACTTACACATTCACACACACACACACTCATACTCTATAGACAATTTAGCCTACCCAATTCACCTGTACCGCATGTCTATGGACTGTGGGGGAAACCGCAGCACCTGGAGGAAACCCAAGCGAACGCAGGGAGAACATGCAAACTCCACACAGAAACACCAACTGAGCCGAGGCTCGAACCAGCGACCCAGCGACCCTTTTGCTGTGAGGCGATAGCACTACCTACAGCGCCACTGCTTCACCGGCAGGATGTCAGCGGGGGCTTTTTGTTTTGGGCCATGCTCTCATCTAGACTTCTCATTTACACTGAAATAAAGCAGAAAGTTTTTGTTGCACTTTTAACATCTAGATGTGAGAATTAGATGTGATTAAAGTGAGCATTTAACAATTAGAAGTGTGTGGACAACAGGGAGCACAAATTGCATCTAAGCGCGTACTCACACTAAGTAAAGTTGCCTTGAACCGAGCCAAATGCTATCTAGCCATGCAACCACCTGTCCACTCGATCATATTCCCTCTCATCTCTTGCAAGCCATCTCTCCTGCAGTCATACCAACACTGACTCACATAATTAACACATCTGTTGCTAATGTTGGGGTTTATTCCCCACTTCATTTAAGCAGGCTAGGGTAACCCCACTGCTAAAGAAACCCAACCTGGACCATACGCTACTTGAAAACTACAAACCAGTATCCCTGCTTCCATTCATGGCCAAGATTCTGGAGAAAGAAGTGTTCAATCAAGTCCTGGACTTTCTTACTCAAAACAATCTCATGGACATCAAGCAATCCGGCTTTAAGAAAGGCCACTCAACTTAGACTGCCCTGCTCTCGGTTGTGGAGGATCTCAGACTGGCTAAAGCAGACTCTAAATCATCAGTCCTCATTTTGTTGGACTTGTCAGCTGCTTTTGACACTGTCTACCACCAGATCCTGCTATCTACGCTCGAGTCACTGGGCGTTGCGGGCACTGTTATACAATGGATCAGATCTTACCTCACTGACAGGTCATTCAGGGTGTCTTGGAGGGGAGAGGTGTCCAACCTACAGCATCTAAACACTGGGGTACCTCAAGGCTCTGTTCTTGGGCCACTTCTCTTCTCCATCTACACATCATCTCTAGGACCAGTCATCCAGAGACATGGATTCTCCTACCACTGCTATGCTGATGATACCCAGCTATACCTCTCTTTTCATCCGGATGATCCCTCGGTTCCAGCTCGCATCTCAGCCTGCCTGTTGGATATTTCACACTGGATGAAAGTTCATCATCTTCAGCTGAACCTCGCAAAAACGGAAATGCTTGTAGTTTCTGCCAACTCGACTCTACACCATAACTTTTCAATCCAGATGGATGGGGCAACCATTACTGCATCCAAAATGGTGAAAAGCCTTGGAGTAACGATTGATGACCAACTAAACTCTGACCACATTTCTAGAACTGCTCGATCGTGCAGATTCGCACTCTATAACATCAGAAAGGTCCGACCCTTCTTATCTGAACATACAGCTCAACTCCTTGTTCAAGCTCTTGTTCTCTCCAAACTGGATTACTGCAACTCTCTACTAGCTGGGCTTCCAGCTAACTCTATCAAGCCTCTTCAACTGCTCCAGAATACAGCAGCAGGAGTGGTCTTCAATGAACCTAAACGAGCACATGTCACTCCGCTGCTAGTCCGTTTGCACTGGCTGCCAGTTGCTGCTCGCATCAAATTCAAAGCTCTGATGTTTGCCTACAAAGTGACTTCTGGCCTTGCTCCTTCTTATCTGCTCTCACTTCTGCAGATCTATGTGCCCTCCAGAAACTTGCGTTCTGTGAATGAACGTCGCCTCGTGGTTCCATCCCAAAGAGGGAAGAAATCACTTTCGCGAACGCTCACGCTCAATCTGCCCAGTTGGTGGAATGAACTCCCTAACTGCATCAGAACAGCAGAGTCACTCGCTACTTTCAAGAAACGACTAAAAACTCAACTATTTAGTCTCCACTACACTTCCTAATCTGCAATTGCCTCTCTGAATAAATAAAAAATACTAATACTACTAATACTTCCCTTCTTAGACTTTACAGACCTGAAACTTGCCTATAGCACTTATTCATTGTTGCTCTTAGTCGTGTAAATTGCTTCCTTGTCCTCATTTGTAAGTCGCTTTGGATAAAAGCGTCTGCTAAATGACTAAATGTAAATGTAAAAGAGACTGGTTGGGAGGATAATGCTGTGGCTTTGGGGAGCAGTCGAAAGTAATACTGAATTGGTCTGAAGTGTGAAATGGTTTACCTGCAATTTTATCAGAAGTGAAATGTCTTGTGTATATAAGGTGAAGTTGATTACCAGATTTATGTGTGCTTGTGGTGGTTAGCTGGTTGAGGTTGAATAATGCAATGAATGGAAATCTGTGGCATAAGGTTTGTCCATATGAATGTTGAAGTCCCCTTATCCTACAAGTCAGCATAATTGGATTATTTACAATCATTAGAAATGAGAAAACTAGTCCCTTCTCTCCTCCTGATTGGGCAGGGAGTGTGGCTGAAAGAGAGAGATTGCCGTGACAGGTCTAGGTCAAGTCCAGTTTGTGAAGATTAAAATGTGTTGCACATACTGGAATGAATTCTGCTTTGTTGATAGTTGACTGACAATTCTAAAGACCAACTAAAATAGATGAGGGTTTATATGAGGAAATGTGGATAGTGTATATCATGATCACTAGCGATCTCTAAGCACCAGAGGAAAACATTCACATTCATACAAACTACAAATCCGTCAGTTCATGGACTACAACTTCATACATGCACTCTGTTCACACACGTTATAGATTCTGACTGATTACACTTGCACCACCTGAAGATTGTCAAAGGCTGATTACACACACTATTTACTCAGCACACTCACTCATTCACATTGCCGAGTCTTGTTTTACTGTAAAGTGACAAATCAACGCGTTTTCTTAGTCTTGTTTTCCTGTGTTTTGACCTTAGTCTAGTTTATCCTTTTGTCTCTGTTTGCCGCCTGCCTTCCGACCTCTCGCCTGTGTTCATACTAAGATTCTGGACTGCCTTTATACATCTGTTTGCACCCGTATTGACAATTGCTTGCCTGACTCAGAATAAACCTGCATGTGGATCCAAACTTCAGTTGTCTCTGTCACTCCCCGTGTTATAGTGCAAGTTGCTGGTGTTGCAGTACCATCTATGTCTATTGTATGTGTGTGGGCATGCAATGACAGGAATGTTCTGTCAGCATATTGTGTGAAAATTAATTAGAAAAGCCTACTGTAGTGCTGTGTGAATGTCACTGCTGGGTAGAATTGTGCAGGTCAAGTCAATTGTCTTTACCCTCATCCACCTTAGTTGCACAGGTTGAGTGAATCGTGTTTACCCTCGTCGGTCTTAGACACGGAGGTTAAGTTAATTGTCTTTACCCTCATTTGTATTTACATAAGAACAATCAACACTAAAGCTGGATGCTTTCAGTATTTATGCAGTGACTGGTACCTGAAAATGTTAAACACAGCTAATTTCTATGCCCAACAAATCCTCCAGCTCACAGATGCAAAAAATCGAAAACAACCCTTCCCTAATAAGAACAATTTTCCTCTGACTCACAGTTTCAACTTAAATTGCAAATAAGTTGGAATTAAATACAGTTGGAATTAAATCAAATACTCACTTTAATTTAAACAAGTGAAAACATATTCATTTTGACAAAGCAAACTATTATTTATTTTAACTTCATTAGTTGAAAAAATACTACAGCAGTTCATAAAGACTGTCCATTTGGGCATATAGGGAGTCAAAAGTGACAGCAGATACTTGTTAGGTCAAAAATCCCCTTTTGACACTGTCTTATTTTTCTTCTTAAAAGCCTCTGTCTGTAGAGAATAACTTCATGGTTTCTTGAATACTTCAGTATTCGGTACTACAGTAGGTACAATCCCTAATGGCAGTTTGGAACACAATAGGGAATTTAGTAATTGTATTTTGCATTTGAATTTGCCCCCTATACCCATTAGCAGTGTACTTTTATAGAAAGCAGGTATTTGTATGGTGTCTGAAACCACAGTGTACATTCTAAAGTGTACTCAATCAGTCAATCCCCCTATGCACTGTAATATGCACTAAATGGCTAGAGATTACTCATAATGGGCAGATTTTGACATCTGAATGAATTTTTGCATCTGACAACAAGATGACATCCACAGTGGAATTATATTGGTGCAAGTTTCAATTGTTATAATAACATTATTATACATGACAAGAATCAAAATACTGTGTATCATTACTGAAATACAACTTGTTTTATGTTAAATCTTATATCAAAAGATCTGTCCAAGAAGTTCTAATATAATCTATGTGAGGGATTTAGCAACTAGCAAAATACAAACAAAATTACATCCCTTCTGGTGTCTCGGTGCTCTCAATTCACTTGTTTTTGTGAATTTTTGAGTTAGAATAACTAATAGTGCAGTGACTTGTTAATACGAGAGCATTCATTTCCAATTAATACCCAGTAATAAAAATGCTAAAAAGTAATTTATTCTTTGTTTTGCTGTACTGACTATGCTGCCACACATGCTAGCCCTGATTATTTGTTGACTTGCAAATGTTCAAATTTTAGCCATTGCTAAAATGCAGAAAAACGTCCTACCATGACATAGGGGTTGCAGTTTCTTCCTCTGAACTTTTAGGCCATTCTGGAGAAGCGGCACATGTATCTTGTAGTACTAAGCAATGGTCATCTTTTACTAGTACATCTGATTGTATAGAGGAGGGGTCTTGCTCATCTCCCAGCACCTCTTCTAGGTCTTGAAAAACAAAATAATAATAAAATATTAATTTTACTTTAATTACCGCATTATTTGCTTACACAATGTTGACAACAAAAAAGTTTAGATAAATGTAATCTAATAAACTTTTTATTATAATTATTTAGCCCCTTAACTATTACACTCTTTTTGTGTTCACACTTGAAAATGATATATGATACAGCATGTGCATATTATTGCTTAAGATAGGCTGAGTTTAAAAAAAAAATCAATAAATACAAATGTACTGAAAAACAGTCCAACTGCGGAACACACTGCAAAGATAAGGGTACCTGTATATACTTCCAGCATGGCACTGCATGTTACTGTTCCAAACTGATTTGATGCAATGCATTTAAATATTCCAGAATCTTCTGGACATGCCTCTGTGATCACTAGGGTGCACAATTCCTCTGCAATACAACAAACAAATAAATAAAGTTTAAAGCCTGACAAATATGTTTATATGTTTATTTATTTCTTAATGTTGATTAGTGCTTATATGATTGTATATTTGAAACAAATATTTACTCACCCGGAATAAAAGCTGAACTTGCCTCTAACAAGGACAAAAAGATGGTAAGAAGCCGTTTTAGTTTATTGCTATGAACACAAATGAGTAAAATAGTAATAAATGTAACACAGTGAAAAATAAATATACCAAAATATATTAACAATACATTTACTTTATGCTAATTAAACCACAAATTTAACTATTCAAAGATAACACAAGTAAACAAATTGTGCAGTTAATAAAGGACACCTATGATGCTAAAATAAACTTTTAAAAGCTTTTTAAACAGAACAAACGAATTGAGTCCTTTAGGCTTGCACTCTGCAGGGCTGTGGCCCTGCAAGAACTGACACCCATGGCATATAAACATGCCCACTGAACAGATTTTCAAAGAAACTGGATTGAAAGGACTGTTCCAACTCCCCATGATCAGCTGCAGTTCAAGAATGAGTTTTACAAGTTTAAAATGTTTTAAAAAACAGTGCATGTTAGTAATAAAGATAAGCGAGTAAAATTGCTATGTATTTCATTAACTCGAATCAGCAGATAATTTAATCATTCAATTTCTCAGTCTCAGTTTTTGCATGTTAAGGTTTATTTTGTGAACAAACTTGTATTTTCATAACAATCCTAGATTTTTATTTAACACCATCTCTAAATTAGCAAATAATCGGTCATCCTTGGAACAAATTGTTCCACAGCAAATTAGTAGTGATGACTTCATGAATTTTTTCAGTGATAAAATAGAAGGCTTTAGACAGAAAATAGGAAATGCCAAACTTTCTGCACCGGCTTATGCTCCAAATCCTGTAAATTTTGCATTGAATCATAATAATAATAATAACCTACAGTGCTTCAAAATCATAGAACAGGAAGAGCTAGATAAAATTATAAATAGCTCTAAACCAGCTATGTGTATGCTGGACTCAATTCCAACAAAATTACTGAAAGAGCTGCTACCTGCTATAGGAGAACCTCTTCTTAACATTATCAACTCTTCTTTATCTATAGGCCATGTTCCAAACTCTTACAAGCTAGCTGTTATTAGGCCTAATATTAAGAAACCGCAACTGGACCCCAACAACTTAGCTAACTATAGGCCTATAGACCAATTACCAACCTACGTCACACATGACGTCACACGGGTCCCCAGTTGCAAAAAACAGACAGGCTACAATGGGAAAGATGTCATGTTTTGCGGTAGGATGCTGAATTCGAGTCCAAAAATGGAAAACTTAACTTTTACCTTACACCACACACTGCTTTAATACCGACTGCAGACGTCTTTGGCTAAATGGGAGCTGAATGAAGTGAGGAGCTAATTAGAAATGCTGGACTCTGCAGTTCTCATGTCAGATCAGGTCAGTTCACGCTATGCTGAATCAGACACATCACTCGTTTTTGATTGCAAAAATGATTTCAGCAAAAACAGTTACATGTGGTTAATTAAACTGCTGACACTGAATGCTAATAACGAAACGTGAAAGTTACTTTTATTAAGGTAAAGTTGGTTTTATATTCACACATTCATTCAGTGACAACTTGTGACAAACTCCCTATATTGTTTACCACGTCACTTTGAATATTCGGTCTGAAATAACCTGCAAGTGTGACTTGAAAACAACATTAACACTGTTTATTTGACTGTGAACATGTTGTACTTTGATAGTCATTGGCTGCTGCTAATATGATTTCGCTATTTAGAGTTTGCAAATAATACTTTAATGAAATTATATTATTAAGGAGAAAGTCTGAATGTGCGAATATAAAACCAACTTTACCTCTTTGTGTATAGGTTCACATGCCCTGCCGTACAGGTGAAGTTCACTGTCAGAATGCAGTGGTTTTGCGTGTTGGTGATTAATTACCCAGGCCTTGTAGAACGTTAGCTCCGTGTTGTTTCCTTGTCTTTGGCTAACTTAGGCGGAAATATCTGTGTTTAGCTCTTGAATCTGGTCATCATGGAGCAATATTTATTGCACATGACCTCAAAGAACAACATTGTTGGCATTCAAAGACTTGTAGATCTTTAACTTCTCTCTTGTAAAATCACTCGGAGCTTAATTGAGATTGTATATTTTGAGCTGGATGCTCGGTCACTTCGTCTTATCCAATATTCATTGGGAGGGTGCTATCGCAAATGGAGCTGTCAGATGAACGCCGCTCGCTTTAACGTTAATTTTGCTGCATCACTGTGCTTGTCACTGGGTGACAAGCTGTTATAATATTCTGTAAGCATTATGAAATAATATATATAATATGTAAGTAATATATCTTATTTTTAAGACAACAACAAACTCTGCACCGCATCTGATGTCATTCCCTCACTGTAAATGCTAGCGCTCCCGGTTGCTTTCTGCCACCTCCCTGCGCGCGCATCCTGAATGTTTACAAACATGGTAATTGGTCTATTTCAAATCTTCCATTTATGTCGAAAATACTAGAAAAAGTGGTTTCTACTCAATTATGCTCCTTTCTGCAGACGAACAATATTTTTGAAGTGTTTCAGTCAGGTTTCAGGGCTCATCACAGTACAGAATCCGCATTAGTGAAAATAACCAATGATTTACTCTTAGCTGCTGACCAAGGGCGCATCTCGCTATTAGTTTTACTCGATCTTAGTGCGGCATTTGACACCATTGACCACAATATCCTCATAAATCGCTTAAAGTCTACAGGTGTCCAGGGACAGGCTCTACAATGGTTTAAGTCATACTTAACTGACCGTTACCAGTTTGTGAATATTAATGGACAGCCTTTACAAGTCAGCCCAGTAAAGTATGGAGTGCCTCAAGGGTCAGTTTTAGGCCCTTTGCTGTTTACAATTTAAATGCTATAACTGGGAGACATTATTAGAAGACGTGGGATCAGCTTTCACTGCTATGCAGATGATACTCAATTATATATATTTCAACTAAACCTGACGAGACGTCTGAACTGTCTTAACTAACTGAGTGTATCAAAGACATTAAAGACTGGATGACCAACAATTTTCTTCTCTTAAACTCTGACAAAACAGAATTATTACTTATTGGGCCTAAATTTTGTACACAGCAGATCTCGCAACTCAATCTACAATTAGAGGGATACAAAGTTAGCGATAGCTCTACTATAAAAGATCTGGGTGTCATATTGGACAGCAATCTAACTTTTGAAAACCATATATCCCATGTCACAAAAACTGCCTTCTTTCATCTGAGACATATCGCTAAATTACGAAATATGCTATCCATCTCAGATGCAGAAAAGCTAGTCCATGCTTTTATGACTTCGAGGCTGGATTACTGTAATGCTCTATTTGCTGGCTGCCCAGCATCCTCTATTAACAAACTTCAATTAGTACAAAATGCAGTAGCCAGAGTTCTTACCAGGTCTAGAAAATATGATCATATCATCCCAATTTTATCCTCCTTACACTGGCTCCCTGTTCAGTTTCGTATTGAATTTAAAATATTACTTCTCACCTATAAAGCTCTAAATAATCTAGCTCCTGTTTATCTAACCAACCTTCTGTCTCGCTACAATCCAGCTTGCTCTTTAAGATCTCAAAACTCAGGGCTTCTGGTAGTACCTAGAATAGCAAAATCGAGTAAAGGAGGTCGAGCCTTCTCCTCTATGGCTCCTACACTCTGGAATAGCCTTCCTGATAACGTCCGAGGCTCAGACACACTCTCCCAGTTCAAAACTAGATTAAAGACCTATCTGTTTAGTAAAGCATACACTCAATGCATCACCTAGCGGGTTCCACACAGGCTTCTGCATCTTGTTTATATACACTATGAACAGCAGCTACGCTAATTATTTTCTTTATTCTCTATTTTCACCTGGGGATACTCATCCCGAGGTCCTCAGATTATGCAGAGTCACTGACTGGATCCAAGACCAGTGACGAGATGATCCCAAGGTGTCCATATCCGGGACCAGGCCATATCCTGAGCTGCTGCTGCGCTGATGGTCATGGGGAGTGGAGAGCATGAGTCTGATTCCAGCGACGCTCCAGGGACAGACGAGTCTTTGCTGAGGCCACCTTCCAGCCTCCACCACGGTGACTAAAGCTTTGCACAAGACTTTTGGCCAGCGGAGAAATTGAAACGGTCGTGCCAAACTGAGTCTGGTTCTCTCAAGGTTTTTTCTTCTTCACTCCTATCAGGTGAAGTTTTTTTTCCCTCTTCGCTGTCGCTACTGGCTCGCATGGTTCAGGATTGGTAGAGCTACGCATCGATGAATTTGCTCTTCAGTGTTTGAACTCTCAGTAATGATTTTAAATCACACTGAACTGAGCTAAACTGAACTGAACTGACTTTAAACACTAAAAACTGAACTACACTGTTTCAGTTACTATGACCATTTATGTGAAGCTGCTTTGACACAATCTACATTGTAAAAGCGCTATACAAATAAAGCTGAATTGAACTTAACTGAATTTTAACTTGAATGTGTCACATTTGCTGCATGTAGACATGCTAAAACAGTGCAAACTTAAATATGTGTTTGTGCCAAGGAAATAACGTCAGTTGGGGCTAGATGAGGCTCATCAGGGGAGATGAACAGAATTTGATTGAGACTAAAGGCTCACAATATTCCCTTCTTCCGCTACCCACAATTAGGACTCCACTCCCCACCTGGACCTGCATGAATTGGCACTTTTGGCTGCACAACTGACACTTCGCCCTTCATACCCTGCTTTTCATACACCTTGCACTGTAAATAAATAGCCCTTCTAGATTTCACTGTGTCTCTGTGTCCATATGATCTCTCACTTGTGGCATCTGGTGGAGAATGTGGGCACTTTGAGAGATCACACGTCATACAGTTGCCATCTGACCCCATAGGGAGCCAATCTATGTCCTTCTCCCTCTTTTCAGACTGCAAGGAACAAGGATGAGTTCTGCAGCTTTTCAAGAAGGTTAAGTCACAACAGCAACACTTCCTAGGCCAAGAAGCAGAGCATGAGAGGGCATTGCAAGTGGATGGCTGTCAGGGTTCTTCCACTCTGGTCTTGTAAATTCTTGTTTTGGTGGCAGAGTCTGGACACTAGCTCTGTC